GAGGTTCAGAAGTGTGAAATGCAGGACCACTAGACTGAAAAACTCTTTCTTTCCCTCTGCCATCAGACTCCTAAACAGCTGAGGAGTTTATTACCAGGAAATACGTCATGTACTGTTTACATTCTCAGTTTGCACATGCATAATTGCACAATGACTGTTGACGGCTGCTCATGCTGCTCCCATGCAGCATACATTGTTATAATTTTTTATTATATTGCTGCATTTGTTGATGCTTAAAGTGCCTTAGATTTGTGTTACTTCTTTATCTACTTTATATTTCATTTGTATTTTGTGGCATTTATGTGGACAGCAAAGTAAGAATTTCATTGTACAGGGAAACACGTTTCCTAACTGTGCACATGACAAATAAACACTTTCAACCTTGAACCTTTAACCAAAATTCAAAAAGGCATGAAAACTTCACATTCTGTGTAAGAAATGGAAAAAGTAAAAGGGTCTAAACAGTTCCTTAAGCTACCCTACATTTATATGGTTTTTCAGACTGCTAGTTGTACTTTCAGAAGTGAAATGGTGACAAAAAGTAATGCTGCATGCTGATACCCTGATCTGATTCATGGAAACGGTACATAGTGTTCCAATTGTGAAAGGAACGTTCTCTTTCCTCTACCAAGTTCCGATTGACATTGTCAGAATAACATGAAAGTTGATGCTTCTCTTACCGGACACATAAGTGAGACTCGAAGGCTTGTTGTAGCAATCTCACTGTCTGGATCTGCTGTCAGCTTCTCTTTAACTGGAACATAGTGGGCAGGGCAAGAATACAAATTAAACATTTCATTTGTAGGTATAAAATTCAAGTAACTTAGAACTCCAAATAACTCCTAGTCACCTTCTCTCTGATCACAACAGTTCATGAAACAAATGGTTGTAGGTTCCCAACCATAGAATTAGTCTTCTATAATAACTTGATTTCCCTAATTTGACTAAATCATATAATAGTATGCAAGAAACTTAATTTCTATATTTGACGCAAGAAATTACACAAACATGCTTTCTGTATGTAGCTTTAGTCTGGCGAAAATAAAGATTTTTGGTCTCTCTCTCTCTCTCTATATATATATACACACACACACACACACACACACACAGATGAAAGGTTTTAAAAACAATTATTGCACCATCAGCGCTCCAATACACACACACACACACAAACAATAGTGCACCATAAGGTATCACTACTACAGACACAATAAGTAATGTTTTCAAAAGACCAGGGTAGGGGAGATTACTGACCTGCAAATGTACAGATTTTTCATAACCATATTACTACAGTGCATGTTAACATGTTTGACCTGATTTTACAGAGTAACTTGATTTCTTTCGTGCATGTAAGAATACTGATGGGTGCATTTTAAAGTCAGTTTTTGCCTGACAGACTGTGTTGCTTGAAACAGGGCACCATTATATAATAAATATATTCCTTGAGACTATTTTTATTTAGTGCATGGAAAATCAATGTTTCTCCTCTCCTAATTGGGTCTTTTGTCCTGCATCTGTACCCCACAGTTTAGATGCCTTTAAGGTAAGGCAATTATTTTGGGATTTGTGAAGACTAGTAGCCTGCAATAATTATTTTCATTATCATCCATCCATTCGTTATTTATACCGCTTATTCCTGAACAGGGTGACAAGGGGCTGGAGCCTACCCCAGGTGACACTGGGCGAGAGGCAGGGTCCACCCTGAACAGGTAACCAGTCTATCACAGGGCTGACACTTGGAGACAGACAACCCCACAGACTCACTCCTACGGGCAATTTAGAGTCACCATTCAACCTAAGCTGCATGCCTTAGGATTGTGGGAGGAAGCTGGAGTACCCGGAAAGAACCCACACAGGCACAGGGAGAACTCCACACAGAAAGGCCCCCTGGTTGGCCGGGGTACGAACCTGGAAGCTTCTTGTTGTGAGGCGACAGCGCTAAGTACTGCACCACTGTGCCACCACATTGTCATTCAATAAACTATAATAAAGCATAATAAAAACTAAAATGCTTATTCAGTTATCTAAATACTTTGCTGATTATTTTTCTGTACATCAACTAATTAGAGCATATAACCCCAGTGCTGGCCTCTCTTCACTGGCTTCCAGTCAGTTTTAGAATTCATTTTAAGCTATTGATTTTTGTTTTTAAGGCTCTTAATGATTTGGCACTGCCCTACCTCGCTGAGTTGGTGCGAACCTACAAGATTGCTCAGATCATCAAGCCAGTTTTTTATTTTTAGAGGTTCCCAGGGTCAGATACAAACACTGGGGTGACCGCGCTTTTATTGCTGCAGCTCCTAAATTGTGGAATAGTTTACCTTCCAATATTAGATCATCTACAGACTCGACAACTTTTAATACATAGTATTGTCTGATTCTTTTAGAATCAGAATCAGCATTATTGGCCAGGTGTGTTGGATATACAAGGAAGTTGACTCTGGTACAGTGGCTCTCAATCCATATGTACGTGGCCTTATGTAAGGCAGCAGTGGGCAAGTAACCAATATAAGGCTGAGAACAGAAATAAAGAAGTAATGTGCAATCAAGCAAAGGAATGTGCCTTAGGTGTAAAAATAAAGTACTATATACACAGTCTGGATTCAACGGACCAATATGTACAAGGTATACATTTACAGGTATTGCACTGAGGGTTTTTGTCCAGTCACACTGTTTTGATTCTGTGTAATTTGTGTTTATGTTGCTATTTTGTTTTATTCCTGTATTGATCTTATTTATTTTAGTTCTTCCCTGTCCTTGTAAAGTACTTTGGTCAACCAGATGTTTTTAAAGTACTACATAAATAAATTTTGATTTGATAATTGACTAATCATTGCAACTCCACTGAAAAGCTTTGGTCATATGTGACTAAATGAAGGTATAACTGCCGCTTTATAACTACTTCTAGTGGGAAACACTGAAGTGCTGTCATGGTGGCAGACTACATAGTTACTTAGTGCTCTGGAGTGGTCTGGATTTCTGATGCCCTTCATCCTCAACCTCTGGAGCAGCAATGGGGATGTCAGCTGCCTCACCAGGTACACAGACATAGAATAGGTCTTAAAAAAAAAAAAAAAAAAAAATGATATGATCAAACAATCTTAACAGAGAACTCACTGTCAAGAACCCCAAAGATGATGTCCAAATCAAGTGACAGAAAAAGTGGAAAAATAAAGAGTTTCAATGACATTTTTGTTCTTACTTTTCCAATTTCAGGTGCCCATGTCACTGAAATCTGATTTGGTACTGCAGATGAGAGTCGGACAAGGGAGGTAATGTTGAGAGGTCTTCCTGGTCTCTTCTGCTCCACACCATTTTTTGGTGGAGGTGCATAACCCTACAAGAATAAAACACATTGTCAGCATCCTTATAGTAGAATACTTTTCTTGGATTGGCTTTTTAATTGGACTGGTTGTTAAAAAAAAAAACAAAGACTGTTAGGTTAATTATCCTCTTGTGGGCAACTTGTCTCTGACAAGCAAAACCTGACAACGCAAAGAAATATTTTAGAGCCTGAACATATACATAAAAATAAGAACCCTCTTCAGTAATATATATATATATTTAAAAAAGTGGTGATATATGAGTTTAAACTGTTCAGCAAAACCACTGAGAAGGTATTGTAATTCCAAGTTTTGAATAAGTGTCCCCCCTATTTACAATACATGTTTGGAAGAGTGGCAAGAAGAAAGCCATTTCTTAAAGATATCCATAAAAAGTGTCGTTTAAAGTTTGCCACAAGCCACCTGGGAGACACACCAAACATGTGGAAGAAGGTGCTCTGGTTAGATGAAACCAAAATCGAACTTTTTGGCAACAATGCAAAACGTTATGTTTGGCGTAAAAGCAACACAGCTCATCACCTTGAACACACCATCCCCACTGTCAAACATGGTGGTGGCAGCATCCTGGTTTGGGCCTGCTTTTCTTCAGCAGGGACAGGGAAGATGGTTAAAATTGATGGGAAGATGGATGGAGCCAAATACAGGACCATTCTGGAAGGAAACTTGATGGAGTCTGCAAAAGACCTGAGACTGGGATGGAGATTTGTCTTCCAACAAGACAATGATCCAAAACATAAAGCAAATTCTACAATGGAATGGTTCACAAATAAACATATCCAGGTGTTAGAATGGCCAAGTCAAAGTCCAGACCTCAATCCAATCGAGAATCTTTGGAAAGAACTGAAAACTGCTGTTCACAAATGCTCTCCATCCAACCTCACTGAGCTCGAGCTGTTTTGCAAGGAGGAATGGGCAAATATTTCAGTCTCTCGATGTGCAAAACTGATAGAGACATACCCCAAGTGACTTACAGCTGTAATCGCAGCAAAAGGTGGCGCTACAAAGTATTAACTTAAGGGGGCTGAATAATTTTGCACGCCCAATTTTTCAGTTTTTTATTTGTTAAAAAAGTTTGCAATATCCAATAAATTTTGTTCCACTTCATGATTGTGTCCCACTTGTTGTTGATTCTTCACAAAAAATTACAGTTTTATATCTTTATGTTTGAAGCCTGAAATGTGGCAAAAGGTCGCAAAGTTCAAGGGGGCCGAATACTTTCGCAAGGCACTGTAACTGTACCAAAAAGTCATGGTACAATATTGCCACAATATAAAAGTGCCCATCCATCCATCCATCATCTATACTGCTTATCCTGAACGGGGGGCAATCCCAGCTAACACTGGGCGAGAGGCACACCCTGGACAGGTTGCCAGTCTATCACAGGGCTGACACAGACAGACACCACACACACTCCTATGGGCAATTTGGAGATGCCAATCAATCAGTCTTTGGATTGTGAGAGGAAGCCGGACTACCCGCAGAGAACATACAAACTCCACACAGACAGGCCCCGGGTCAGCCAGGGCTGGAACTGCAAACCTGCTTGCTGTGAGACAACAGCGCTAACTAATATGTCACCATGCCAACCTATGATGCAATATTTATCATGGTATAAAAATAAAAAATATAATGAAAAATATGAAAAAAAGCCCCTTACTAAATAATCAGCATTTTTTTGCATAATGTTGATAAATGTATATAAACAATAATGCAGCACTCAGTAGCAGACTTTTTTTTTTTAATAAACAATTTAACTTTGCCTGGCTTGTGGCCATGCCAACAGGTATCCCCTGACCACCAGGGGCAGTAGTGAACAAACTGCTGCTTGGCGCACCAGAATGAGGAGAAATCGAAATACACTAGGACAAGCAACATAAAGGTGCAATTTTTGATTTACTGGAGGTGTTTAACATTGTGGTATACCTTTTCATGATAAATTGGAAAGGGGTTTTAGTTGGAAAGGCCAGAGCAGGCTCTACCTGCTGAGGAGACTAAGGTTGTTTGGACTGCAGGGGACACCCCTGAGGACCTTCTTTGATATAGTTCTGGCATCAGTCATCTTTTATAGTGCTCTGCTGGGGCATCAGCATCTCGACCTCGGACAGGAAAAGACTAGAAAACTGGTCAAGGAGTTCTGTTCTTTCGATCCAGTGCAGGTGGTGGGAGACAAGCGCATATTAGTTAATCTACTGCTGGAGAATGACTCCCACCCCACGCATGAGAGGGTGACAGCACTGGGCAGCTCCGTCAATGACAGACTGCTTCACCCCAAGTGTAAGATGGAGCATTATTGCAGGTCCTGCCTTCCTGCTGCTGCTGTTAGGCTACACAACGAGCTATGCTCCCAGTAGACCCATGTGCAAATATATGTACAATTCCAGTCAATATTATTCATCCTCCATTGCAAATTAGGTGTACTGGCAAAATGTACAAATTTTCAACAGTGTGCAATGAACACATGAAACAAGAACAATTGAAATAGCTCAGCAGAATTAAACAAGTAGTTTCTCCAAATTCAACACAAAATGCAACCTAAAGATTTCTTCAGTCTTAAAATTATTTAACCCCCCTGAGCCCATTCTTCATGGGCAATTGCCCATGAGGAATGGGCTAAGATTTCTCAAGAACGCTGCCGCAGGTCATGACAGCAAAAGGGTGATCTAATAAGTATTAAAGACGATTGTCATGAGGGGGTCGAATAATTTTGATACTGCAGAAGTCATTAAAAAGATGCATTTTGTGTTGAAGTTATAGAAACCACTTGTTACATTAATTGTGTTGAGCTTTTTTACCATTTTTAGAAAACAGATATTGACACGTAGATGGGGGGTTAATAAAAATAATGGGTTTCTTAGTATAATGTTCTTTCACATTCAGAATTGTTGAGTATTTAAGATCTCTATTATTTATGGGTCAGAAGAATGAACATTCTCACCTCAGTTGAATTTGAACCATATAGTCCCTTCTGCCACCTGGAAGAAAATCCCTGTAAACACACAAGGCCACTTTATCATTTACATCACAGAGTACGTCACTCTCAGCAAGTGTAGCATAACAAAGGTATTTATAAGAAGAAAAAAAACAAACAAAAAAAAAAACACACAAAACAAACAAACAAAAAAAAACTAATCATACCTGGATATACATACTTCGCGAACCTGCTGTGGAGTCAAGGCGAAGATAAAATATTTTTCTTGGTGGTACCTCTGTGCGGTACTCACCCCTAAAAATCACAAATAATGACAGTCAGGTACAAATGCTATTCTTCAGACAAATTACAGTCATGTGAAAAAATTAGGACACCCTTTGAAAGCATGTGTATTTTGTAACATGTTTTAATATATGGTTATTTAATCTCAATTTTAACAATACAGAGATTAAAGTAATACAACTAAACGAGTAAAACTGAAAAGTCTTTTCAAGATCTTCTGTAAATGTAATTCTGCAAAAATGCCTATTCTAACTCAGTTAGAACATTCAACATTGACCGCCACATACCGATTTAAAATAGGTTAAATTTGATTTCAATGTAGTCTCAGGTGTAGTGCATTTATTCCCTCAGCTTCTCTGTGTTCTGTTCCATTACTCGCTCTCTCACAAACACATGACAACCATAACGATGGACCATCTGTCAATAGCTCCTCCTCTGTGTTTGGTTTTTTTAAGCCAGTGCTGCTGAAGCAGCAAGACAGGGATGTAGGAGGAGGGCAGCAGTCAACATGCTGCTGTGGGAGGGCTAGTGCAGAGGGGACAGGTCAGCTGAACAGCAGAACACCACTATAGCATTACAGCACTTAATTAAAAATTAGGACAAGCTATCACTTCAATTACCACAGTTATTAATACGGCAATAAGTCAATCGTAATAAGTCAATATGGCAAGACCCATGGCTCAAACTACATATTATCCACTACATGAAAAGTGAAAGAAAAGACCACAGACCTAGACTTGAAGGCTTGATTAGGATGTCCAGAACATCATAGAAAGGCAGGGGCTTCATCTGCACATCGGGGTGCACAGGGGGGATGACAGGGGCTGGCGGTTGGAGATTCATGCTGGTTTTGATGTTGTGCCACACAGCTGTTTCACCAGTCAACAGGGTGAAGTCTGTGTTACGGAACTGACTCCTGCTAAGAGAGATGAGCAAGTGGTCACTATAGTTATTCCTCTCACAGCAGAGAGCAACAGTGTCTTTATGATAGCACCACTGGACGCAACCAAATGCAAAGTCTTCAACCCTTAATGATTAACAATGCCTTTTGTTGTGCCAGACAAAGCCAAATACTGTGACACTGTGAATGGAATAAATGGGTACACTAAAACATGAAAAACAAGCTAAACACCACCGCTAAGCACGAACCACGGACGAGCACTAACATTTGTGTAAAAGGGCCCATGGCATGCTTTTCTTTGTTTGTTTTTTTTAAACTTATCTACAATGTTACAACGGCAAATTATCTTTGACATGACCTAAAACTCAAAAAATGTTGTGTACGCATATTCTAGTATTTCTATGGAGAAGCAACTGGGTTAATACTCATCTCACAAACTCTCGCTCGCGAGACTTTTTTTTCAAACAAAATCAAGTATTACGTGATAGTTTAAAGATCTCCTTAAATGAGCATAAAATCTAGGCTGTTGAGCATTTATGTGAGCTTGCCTGACATCCACCGATGCCATTGTGAAAGCGGAATTGAAATGTATGATTTATAGAATAGGTAAGCATCGAGATAAACTTCTGGAAGGAATTATAAACAGTTGAGTATGTGAGCATGAAGTCTGCAGAAAGTATAGATGAGAATAGGAAGATGTGATAAATGAGCTCAGAAGGCACCGAGTGTCTGGAATGGACTTACAAAACATACTAGATTTTAGGGGTCCAAAACAGAAGGATTGTGTTAAATTGCCTAAGGAGAAATGAAGTGACTAATAAAATTAAACCAGATGGAAATTTAGGAGGCACCAGAAGATGGCAGTAATGCAATGTCTTGGATGCCAACTGGCAACAAACACTGAAGAAGCAGAAGAACTTTATCCTTAGCCTAACCTGAACAACACAGTGGGGTGCTAATGGAAATAAAGTTTTAACAGGGGGAAACATTTCCACAAGACAGAAGACTTTGACAAAAGCCCAGTGTTGTGTCAAAATGCGTTTCCCCATCGAGATCTGTTTACCCTAACCTAAGACTAACTAACCACCGAGGGGGGTGCTACGCGAAAGAGTTTTTAAACATGGGGAACATACTGTATCTCAATGGGTTAGCACATTTCAACACAAGACCAGTCTTTTAGAGGAAAAAACAACCAACCAATTAAATCATATTTATGGTAGCAAGGCATCTCGCCATTAACTTTTGGCTAAACATTGTTCAACATTAAACAACCCATGGCATGCTTTTCCTGGTTTTTTGACTTATCTACAATGTTACAACAGTGAATTATCATCTTAGAAGTGACCTAAAGCTCAAAAATGAGGTGTACGCATGTTCTAGTACTCTAGCAACTCAGTTTATATACGTCTCACAAACTTTTACCTCCTGCTGCCTGCACTGTGACCCCTATTTCCCCACACTGTATGACATACTTTGTGCACACATCAACCCTATATTAATGCCAGTGGTTTTGGAATGAGATGGTTATTAAATTAATCACATAGGCTTATGTAATGTTTGAATGTAGTAAGTTTTGACTATAGCATATCATGTCACACAGTAGGCCTATACATACAGTAGACTATATTTATGCAGATTTGTCATCTTTACACATTTATGCTAGCAAACATAACTAACTAATAGAAAAATGAAATCAGACAATAATCTAAATGGCTGCTTATTTGCTCTGGAGACATCGGAGATGTAGATCTTAATGTATGGAGTGGTCACCGGTTGATCCGACTGCTTCTGTTGGTAAGCGACAGCTGGCTGTATGCTGCAGCCATTGTATAAACAATTGAAGTCAAGACCATACTGTGGCAACCAGTGGTCGAAGAAGTACTCAGATTGTTTACTTAAGTAAAAGTAGCAATACCACAGTGTAAAAATACTCTGTTACAAGTAAAGGTTATGCATTTAAACTGTTACTTAAGTACTAAAGTAACAGCATAAAATACACTTAAAGCACAAAAAGCAAAAGTACTCATTATGCAGAATGGCACAGTTCACATTACTGTATATCATATTACTGGACTACAATTACTGATGAAGTATTGTGTACATCACATTTAATGTTACAGCTGGTAAAGGGTAGGGCTAATATTAACTACCTTTATATGCTTATACTTTGAAGTATATGAGACCAATACAGTCTGATGATTATATTTTGTTTAATCTCAGTCTGAAAAATAACTTAAGTTATCAAATAAACGCTTTGAGTAAAGAGCACATTTTATGTAAAATGTAGCGAAGTCAAACTATGAAATAGCAGAAAATGAAAATACTCAAGTACAGTACAGGTACTTCAAAATTGTACTTAAGTAAATGTACTTACGTACTTCCCACCCTGGTTGTGCACAGAGCTTGCTCCTTGATTTACAATTAGTTTCTTACAGAGGCGTGCGGGTTTGAATCCCGTTGTTTTTATGTCTTATTTTACGTTCAAAATGCGAATACGTGTTTTTATGTAGCTACATTACACGGTTACTCAACCAAGAACCCAAAGACGTATCAGATACATTAGACACCTTAATAAAAATGGAGAGTCACTTCGTCTTTACCTGCTCCGAGCAGCTTTGTTAAATACATGCAACGTTGAAGATTCGAGAGTTTACCGTATGTGACATCTTTACTTAAATAAGATTCAAAAGTCAAACAAAATGTTTTGACGATCAAATGACACAGTAGCATTCACGAGGACAGCTACGGGTCATCGTCCCGTTTTCAACATCTGCAGCAACTACGAACAACCACCGAGATAGTTTGGCTGGCCACTCGTTAAGCTTGAACACCGAGTTTATCCGCTGCATGCCATCGATTTCCTAGCTACAGAAATAATTAATGTTTCTTAACAGACTTCTTTTCCTACATTTTACACAATGCCACTGAACATACGCATATCAATACAGCGGTATAAATACCAGCATGGTCTCAACTAGCGTTAGTTGTACCCAGCGAGCTAACAAGGAACCTCTTAGCGACCGGCTAGTCTTAACTGAATTGTTAGCATTATGGCTAACAACCGATATGTAAACGAACTTATCTGAAAATGCACATTCATGGCTAGCAGTGATCTATCCTCTTTGCCCCACAACGCGGAACGCCATATATCAACTGGTCTACTCATTACAAGTTATGCCTGCATGTTGTAATCCTGCCATAAGTTTATAACATCAATGTTTGTCTCTTCGTATACCTGAACCTCTTCATTCTCCGCCATCTTGTTGTTCTGATCATCCCGCCCGCGTGACTACTTCCAGGTGATGCCACAACTTATTACAAGTACCATTATCGCTCAAGGAGGCAGAGTAATAACTCTAAGTCAAACCAAACAGACAAGCAATTACAAAGTCTAATACAAATACTGAACAGTACAAAGACTGAGCAAGTTCAAAATTAACTAACATTATCCCAATAGAACAGGAAAGCCAAACAAACAGGGAAGCCAAACGACACAAAAAAACAAACTATTCAACACATTCATTTACATTTTCTGGGGTTGTGGAAAGAAGATTAATTAATATTTGATATAATTCCTGTGACAGTTTCATGTTTATATACTTCAATGAATCACACAGAATAGAAAGCTCTTTCATTAAAACTGAGAGATGTGGGGTCAAATTCCTAAATTTGCATTTATGTATATAATATTTTGCCATAATTATCAAATTGTTTAACATAAATTCCATTCTTGAGTCCTTTAAAATTATACCAAATTGAATATTTTCATAGTTTAATTGAGATAGAGACGGATTATCCTTTAAACACCACTGACAAAATGCTTTCCAAAATGAAGAAGACACACTACAGCTGAAGAAAAGATGTTCCTGTGATTCCATGTCATTTTCACAAAATGTACATACATTTGTGTCAAGCCCAAATTTAAGGTACAACAATTCTTTACATGGATAGATTTCATTCATTGTTTTAAAATGCACCTCTTTAGCTTTAGGTGAAATTGGGAACTTCAAGAAATAACATCTTATTTTCTTTGCATCAGAGGAAGCATTCAGATATCTTTCTAGCAAATACCTTCTTTTCAGAGATGAAGGAAAACATGCTTTAGTAAGTATGGATCTTGAAAATTGGTTTTTACTGCATTTGTCAGATAGAAAAGTACAGTCTTGTACTAATAAAGGGTGTAAGCGATGTATCATCCTTTGATAATATAGTGAACCTTTAATATTTATGAGAATAGCTCGTGGTATGGCTTTTATCACCTTATTATATTTATCCTGAGTACAGTTTAAATTATACTTGTTGTTGAATGCTATTAGGTCCAGAATATTGTCTCTGTCGTCTATTAGATGTTGAATTGACCAAATTCCTTGGTCCGCCCACTCCTTCCAGTAAAAGGACTTTCTCTTTATCAATATGTATCGATTGTTCCAGATTGGCGTATTATGTGGGGAGAAATTGTGCTTGAAAATTAATTTCCAATAAAGCAGAACCTGTTGATGG